GCAGAAATGTTTGCCAATCAGAAGTCTAGAAGCCTCGGTGGGAAAAAGTAAACAATAGTGATGTGCAATACCACAGATTTTCTTTCCGATCCGATACCAAGTAAAATTCAGGACGATACTGATCCAATACGATACTTTGTGCAAAAACTTTTATATCTTTATATCATTTTATCTATTGTCTCTTTTATTGTATCTCAAATTACAGCTTCATAATGATTAAAAGGCATCAGATTACTTGTTCTTATCGCTTAATAATGCACAATTATCATACAGAAATAAAAAAACTGAAGTTGTGTGCTATTTGAACACGTTGCCTGCCTGCAGCGCTAAAGGACTCCCTGAGAGACGTCTGTCTCGCCCTGGCAGCACCTGTCCCTGTCCTCCTCTTCAGTTTGCCTCAACATACACTCGTCATATTCTGTGATATGATTTACTCTGAGGTGTTTGATGAGGTTAGTGCTGTTGCCGCAACACCTCACTGTCTTGCCACATGTATTGCAAACCACGTCTCAGCCGTTTGTGGAAGTAAAATATGTCCACACATGACTCCATTTACGCTCAGCCATTGTTGTGAGTGCGCACGCCAGAGGCTGCGACACATTTATACAGCCGTATTTCGCACATGTCTATGACAGGCAGAAGAGGTAGTAGTTCCTTTGAATGTAGACAATCCGAATGATATAGTTTCTTTCCACTGTGTTCCTGTTAATGATAAACTACAAATTTACCCTAAATTACTAAAATATCGATATTTTAATATGAGAATCGATTCTAGAACATAAATGGCTGGTATCGGAGGAATCGATATTTCAGGATCGATCCGCACATCACTAGTAAACAAAGATGGGGCATAGAAGCAGAACCGAGTTGTATGTGTGGAGGGACAGTAACTGTGTGTGTATATGTAAGCATTTAAACTCTGCAGAGAGTACAATTAACAGTAATAGTATTGTAGAAATTCAATTCACCGAAACAATAACGTGGCGCACAGTGTGACGTCAAAAAATGCGCACACCTTTGACGCTGCGTTTTCTCCGTTTTTCTCGTCCACGTGTAATGCAAAAACTGACTTTTCAAAAATATCCACCCTGGCCGGAGTTTTTAAAAATCTCAGTTTTCAGTGACCGAAAACACTGTTTACGTTTGGACAAAAGGTGCAAACCCATAGAAAAATCTGTTTTTTCAAAAATACCCGGGTACGTGTGGACGTAGCCTAAATCTCTCATATGATACTGTATGATGGGAATGTTGTTGCAATAACGCTAAATATCTGATCAACACTATCTTGAATATATATATAAAAACTGCCATCAGCATTGAGGAATAATTACATTTTTCTAGGCAAAAGCTTTGAATTTTGGTCATTAAAACCAGAATAAATAAATATTAAACTACACATGTAAAGCGGATGTGAGAGAGGCTGTGATGAAGTTCAGGAGTTCTTAAGGACGTATGTGCTCCAGTCAAGAAATTTGTATGAGATATTGGACACAGGTGGTAAAGTGCTGTCACACACTGAATAAATTGTCCTCTGTTGTTACAGATATTGTTTCAGTTATTCTTTGGTTAGCTGACATATTGGTTACATAATCATATTGTTTATCACAGGGGAAGTGTGAATTTTATTATACTGGAGCCTAAGGTTAGGTGCAATAATATTCAACCGTAATATTAGCTTATAACTAGGTGTTGTCAGTTAGCCAGTGTTGTGTCAAAAAGTCATGTCTGCCATAAACTAATTTCCAGTATTTTTCAAAAACCGGTTGATCATATTTAAACTGCTATAGACAATTTTTTGGTCTATAATATGTGAAACATATGTCAAATGTATCCCTCTCGGGTGACATCGAGTCATCTTGTGCCACAAACAACATTCCTGTAACAAGGTAGAAGCTGCAATCAGTTTTTTGCAGTAATGTTTATTTCTCATTTATTCATTTGACATTAAAATTACTTTTTTAAGAGTAATCTGTCCAAGAGGACAGTAGAAATTGCAACAAATATAATAATCATTCTGCAAACATATTTTAAGTGGCCCAAAAGGACTGGATTGGTTTTAATGTAGTTACAATAACACAGAGTTATAAATATACTTAAAAGATGCAGGGGCGGTCCTAGTCTGTTTGGTGCCCTGTGCAAACACCCCCTCTTCTGGAAAATGTGTCAGTACTCCAAATTTCTCTCCCATGTTTTCCAGAGTGGTGAATCTCTCTTGGATGGAAGATACTGCAGCATCAACAACAACATTAAAAAAAGGTCACCTCCAGCTCTTTGGGGCACCACTCAATGGCTCATCAAATGACTCGTAAGAGAAGTGCTGCTTTGTAGATCTCTCTTTTCTGTCACAGAACAGCCTCTATGTTCATGTCCTCACACATATCATTGGCTGACATTTGTGCAGCTGATTAGCCTGTTGCTCTGTAGTCGCGGAGACCTCTTTCTGTCTTTTTGAGGAGATTGACTGCTACATGCACATGTATGTTGGGAGACTGCATGAGCTTGCTCACATTGTGGATTTGGTTCAGAATGTCATACCACACCACTGAACAAATGCTGAATCTGTATGATCCCACCTCCTCAGACAAAGACTGGGCCTCAATATTTATAACTGAGTGTTTGGTGTGGTCTCTCACCTCAATCAAAGCCTCTCTCACTGCAGATGCTTGGTACCTCAGGGGCTCAACGCTGTTGATCTTACTTTCCCACCTTGTTTCAGACCACATCTTCAGTGTAATGTTAGCATGTTTTTCAGGATGGCCCATCGCTGAGTAGAGTCTTAAAACAAATTGTAAAGTTTTTGCAAAATCCCAAAGTAACTTGTGGCCTCAATAGATCCCATTGAAGCATCAGCCACAACCAAATTCAGTGTATGAGCTCCACAGGGAACAAAAGAGCTCTAGGATTCAGTTCCAGCAGCCTGGCTTGAATGCCCTTGTTTTTTTCCTCTCATGTTAGCCCCATTGTCATATGAATGACCTGTTCAGTCCTCAAAGGGAATTTTCAGCTCTTCCAGACTGTTTAAAATCATGGATGTGAGATGCTTCCCTGTGGATTCGTCAGCTTTCATCAAAAACATAAAATACTCCTCAACATGGGGCTTCTCTTGTAATGACACAATCCGAATCACAACTGACAGCTGCTCATTATGGGATCAAACCTTGCCATGAGTTAAACTTCTTTTATAAAATTGCCATTTGATGGAGAAAACAATGTTTCCGGGTGTGTCCTTACAGTGCGTTCACACCGAACGCGATAGACGCGACCAGAGCTTCAGGTTTACATGTAAAGTCAATGGAGCAGCGCGATGACTTCAGAAGCAGATTTGAGTCGCAAAAACGCTTTTCTGCCTGATTCGCGCAACCAAGTATCGCGACTGACACGTTTGAAGTGCGACGTAAAATACGTGCTGCAGTTTGTGTGGTGCATTTTGTGCATTCACGCTTATCGCGTCTACCGCTCGAGTTGGAAAAATCTGAACTCCAGCGTCAAGTCGCGCTGTGACAAAGAAACAGGAGTCTGGTGATGTGATACTCTGACCTAGTTCAAAGGGGCAGGTCCAGCCAAAGCCATTCATTCTAGCAATCAGTATTTTTGTGATGAGGCAGCAGCTCTCCAGGGCAGAAACAATGTTCTTATTTTTCTCCTCCTTCTCCCTGAGGCTCTTCCACTTTAAGCTGGGTCCTTTTTATTCCTATCTCTGTGTAAATAGTTATATTTTATATATTTATGTTTAATGTTTTTCTGTTTGAGCATCTTAATATTATTTCAAATACATTTTTGTAATGATTAATGTGTAAAGCGTCCTTTACGACGCTGCTCTGCTCTCCACAGTGAATAGAGAAGGGAGACTCTCTCTTCAAACGCTAAATCGACAGCTGCCGTCTTGCAAACATACCGTCTGGCAGTACCTCCTCCCACATTTCTGCTTCACGCGCGTGAAAATTGCATATTTTAAAGCACGACCTGTTGCATGGTTGAATTTTAGCCAAGCTTTAGCTGTTGGATAGGTATTAGATGTCTGGTTTTCACAAAAAGTGAAAACAAAAACAGAAAAGCAGTAGTATTTTTGGGATGTAGGTCTTTGGTGTTTTTCAGTTTAACTGAGTGTTGCATAGTCTGACCTTGGAGCAAATTGCTGAGCTGTCCACTTCTAGGTGGATTGGCAGGTGTCTTGAAGGTTTTCCACTTGTAAATAACCTTTGTAAAATGATGGATGCCACACTGTTTAAAAAGTTGTTGCAGCCTTTCCCAGACTGATGTCCATCAAAGGTTCAGTCTCTAATATAAGTGCTGATGTTTTTTCTTCAATTCAATTCAATTCAATT